TGTGTGTGTGTGTGTGTGTGTGTGTGTGTGTGTGTGTGTGCANACCCCCCATCCAAATCTATACAACCATGATACCTACCTCTTGATCCCAGTCGAAATGTTGCCATACATTATTCGCCAGGACCTGCCCTACGGAGTCCATACTCTGCCGGACGGAGTCACGAGGGAGGGGACAGCCGCCCGCTGATTGGCTCACCGGTCCGGGCCTTCCGCGGAGATATCTCGCCGAAAAGCCAAAAGCCAAAACAACCGTCCACTGGATTGTGGAAAGCGGGTGGGGTGGTCAGTGGTCACACCACCTGACTATAGTATTTATCAGATATTATGTTTTAGGAGGAGAGTGGTGAGGAAGAGTTCACGGGATGAAGGAAAAGTAGGCAAGTGACTTGCTCAAGAGTATAATTTGAGATAATTATGGGATGACTCATCTATAGTATAAAAAAAGTGTAGTATATATTGTATGGGAGGAAAAGGAAGACTGTATATCGAGAGATTATCTCCTGTCTATATCCATTCCTAGGACATTGTCATTGTAGAGTGAGTTAGTTCTATGTGATCCAGCGCTGGGATTCAAAAGACAAAATAGATAGAGATCTTTATGGAATGAAAGTTCTGTCTAAATATCTCTCTAGTATAGTCTATTTATGACTGCTGTAATAAAACAATGACGAAAGCAAACCAGAGACAATGCCTGAATTAGATAGGTAGATATATATCTGACAGCTCCTGTCAAGTCTAGGCCCCGCTTAATACGAAAACACTTTATCGTCAAGCTGGCGCAGACCCAGCAGCGATCGTCACGTCACCCTTCGCAGCCTCCTCCTCCGCCAGATCCCTCTCCTTCATCGTCTTGGGTCCCACGCCCGCCAGAGCCCACACGCCCGGCCGCTGTCGTGCCTGCATCTCCGCCACCGCCCTCTCGTCCGCGTGGAGATGCGCCCCCGACTTGCGGAGCAGCACCACATGCTCTGTCAGGCCCGCGTTGGCCGCCAGGAAGAGCGGTGTCCGGCCCGCGCTGTTGCGGAGATGCACTGATGCTCCCTGTAGCAGGAAGTAGCGCAGGATCTCTACCGAGGGCGACGTTGCGGCGATGTGCTGGGGCTGTATTAGTATTATTGATTAAATAGAAGGACGATTCAAGTGTTGTGGGTAGAAGGGGGATATAAGAGACTCACCAATGGCGTGTTCCCCGAGTAATCAGTATCGTTCAGCACCCAGCTATTCTCGCCCTTCATGATATCCTTCACCTTCTCCAGATCTCCCTGGGCAATAGCATAGCCCAGCGCGGTGAGGATCTTGGCTTGTTCCGGTAGGCCTCCCTCCGGGTGACGGAACATGGGCTGAGAATGCTGCGTCAGTTCTCCCCGCAGGGACACAGACATGTCCCGGGCCACCGATTCCGGTGTTGCGCCTGGGAGGGCAAGCAGATAGGAAAGCTTGGTCAGGGCCGCTTCCGTTGTCATATCCTGACCGGCAACAACGCCCGCACGAGAAAGGGTCATCCCGGGGGCGTAGACGGGACTGACGCTTCCTGACAGACCTGCGAAGTGTTAGCCATAACTCACCACCAATCGTCTGATATCGGCAACTGACATTGAGTCACATTGACAATGACAATGCCCCGCCGGATGGCATTGGCCAGAACCTTGGTCATCGCATTGTCTTGTCCTCCCGGTGCATTCCCAGCACCAAATGTCTCCAGCACCAGGCCTCGCAGGCCTTCCAGTTTGAGCACCGCATCCACCATCTCCGGCTTGATGCCGGGGAAGATCCGCAGACACGCCACGTGATTCGTGTCGAGGTTGGTCTGGATGCTGAAATGCTCGAGCTTGGTGGGCCGGCGCACCAGATCCCAGGCCACCTGCGTCCGCATGGACGTGGTCACCGCCAGCGGCGGGCAATTCGGCGAATCGAACGCGGCAAAGTCGCTTGCAGCAACCTTGGTTGCGCGATTCCCACGGAACAGTTTGTAGTTAAAGTAGAGACAAACCTCCGGGATCATGAAGTGGCCAGCCACCACCAGCGACCCGAGAAGGTTATCAGCAGCATCGTTCTGCAGCTCCAGCATCGGTGCCTGGGACCCCGTCAGGATGACCGGTTTGCCAAGGTTCTGCAGCATGAAACTGAGCGCCGAACAGGTGTATGCCAGACTGTCGGTGCCGTGTAAGACGACGAAGGCGTCAAAAAGCGTGTAGTTGTAGGAGATGGTCCGGGCGATCTCCGCCCACCCTTTGGCGTCGATCGAGCTGCTATCGAGCAGCTCCTCGAACTCGAACACGGTGTAGCGGACCCGACGGTCATACGCACTGGGCGGAGTGCGCAGACTGGGGTATTTCTTGCGCTCCCCGGCCTCATTGACAACCACCTCCATGGGCAAGGGACGCGACCCATCGTTAAACGTAGGTAGCCGAGCCAGACAATTCTCCTGAAAGCCTCTTGCGGGGACGAATCCTGAGGGCGACCGCTGCATGCAGATGGTGCCGCCCGTCATGATGATGAGGACGTGAGACTCGGGGATCGAGCTGGGCAGCTGATGCGCCTCCGCTTCCATTGCCATGGCGATCCGGATGTCTGTGAATCAAGCCGCCAGCTTCAAGAGACTGTCCTTTTGACCTGAGAACGGTGACACGAGAATGACACCCCGCTTGATGAGCTGAGAAGGAACCAGAGCCCTCCTCCGCGTATGACCCTGGAATAAAAACAGAATATTGACTCAAGGAGGGAAGAAACACATGGTCAATTCTGGAGATGACAGAGTAGAATATCTTCCTCTCAATTTTCGATGAGCGAAGAAGTCTTTGTTACTCTTGAACAGAGCTTCCGACGGGTAGAATCGGAGCAGGCGCCACGCCAAGGTAATTGCGAAACCGCGTCAGATTGGCAGACGAGGACTGAGTATTGTACTTCACGTCTGCGATGGATTTAACAGGCGCTCATAATAACCAGTGTTAATGGATTGATTGTATGTGAATTGAGAAATTGTTTGTTTGTTGGGCGGGGAGCTCTGGCGGAGAAGAAGTAAGAATAGTCGCACAAGCAAACCATTTTGCTGCGGGCGGCCAACAAATAGAGTTCCACAGCCAACCATCCAATTCTATAAGGCTATAAGATCGAAAATTAATGTACTTGAAAACAGTTGGCAAAATGTGTTATTTGGAGTGGGACAAGAACGAATTCACCATGAGAAGACAGCTGCTCAGGAGCTAGATAAAAGCAAGCATGTAGCTCAGAGTCAGACCTGGCATCTTCAGGGTCAAATTAGACGATATACTATTATTAGTCAAGACGACCACTCATCTCCGTCCCGGAGAAGCTACTGCGAGAGGGCTTACTAGAGGACGTCAGAAGTCGTGCTGGAATGTCAAGCATGGAGTACTCCACGTGGGGCTCATTTCCGTGGCACTACTAACTAGTCCATAGCTTAGTGACAGCTTCTGTGGTATTGCTTTGAATCGGTGATGGTGTCAAGGTGGATAAGAATGATGCCGCACGTGGGGAGAAATATTCTAGAGTTCTACCCTTATCATTACCTGATAAATAAATGTACTACCATCAAGCTTCTATGCGTCTAAACTATGAGTATTTTCTGAACTCCAATATTCCAGTTACAACTTTCAACAAATGCCTTTTTGTAACAATGCTTTGTTCTAATGTCATGCAAGCTGAGGCAGTCAATGATAAAGATAGAGAGCTTCCAATGACCAAACAGTACTGGTATCTGAACTCGTCAATACTCCTAAAGGAATAATGCGTTTCTAGACCCTGTTTCCCCAACCCTTATCATTGGTGCTGGTCGAGCTCATCAACAACCCCTCAAATGTCGTCAGTCCTTCCCGTCGCCCTGATTGGCAGAAATCATCCTCAATTGATCAACATGAGGACTCGCATTGCGCATCGACACGAGCATGCTGCGGAGTTGTCCGAACTGTCTTGTAGGACGGCTGGAGATTGTCACCCCCTGTTATTGTGTCTTACCCCAGCCAGGGCTTGCTGTATGTCATGTACAGTACCCATTGTTCCTGTCGAATAATTAAATCTGACCAATCTGATTAATTCATTTTTGTCTGCTGATTGCATTTATCTTTGTAGTTCGATTGGTTATTTACATTAACGTCAAATTGAAATTGCTGTAGATATCGCTCAGATGTAGGACGGGAAATGTAGCACGGCACGGACACCTGCATGGTGCGATCACGATCGCAAATGATGAAATAGCGCGGTTCGTAGCTCAGGCCTTGAGACATCGTATTAAAAATGGGTATTTCTGAAGAAGATCGTCCTGCAAGACCATGTCCAGCTGTACCATATAGCATAGAGCTCATTGATGCATCACCATGGCGCCTAAAGAGCCCGTCGTCTCTGCGACGTCCGACAGCAGCTCTCCGGCCGCAAGTGTCATCGACGATGGAAGCCTCAAGTTTGTTTACGAGCAGGGCGGCAACAACGCCCTGCCTTCTTACCAGGAAGCCACTGGCGCGCCTGTCGAGACAAGATCTCCGCTGGGGTACAAGGTGCGCTGGGTGTCGGCGACGATGTTGAATATCGGCATGATGATTGGAACGGGCGTCTTCTCTACACGTGCGCTGCCAATCCCACACATCATCAGCAAGATCATGTAATATACAATTGTCAATTCGCTGACTGACTGAATGGCATCCAGCGTCCACAATTCTGTCCGATACGGGATCCGTCGGTCTGTCGCTCATTTTCTGGACGATTGGCTTCGTCGTCGCTGCTGCCAATCTGGCCGTCTATCTGGAGTTGACCTCGTACTTCCCCAGTCGATCGGGCAGCGAGGTCGTCTATCTCGAACAAGCGTATCCACGACCCAAATACCTCCTGCCGACGACGTTTGCGGTGCAGGCGGTGATCCTGTCTTTCAGCAGTGGGAACGCTATCGGTGAGATGTCACCACGGTCATGCCCTTCCTATCTTCGTCGCTGATGGGAGATTACAGTTCTCGCAGAGTATCTCTTCCAAGTCGCGGATTATTCTCCGACGAATTGGCAACTGAAAGGAGTTGCTATTGCCGGCTACACAGTTGCAGTTTTGCGTATGTGACTTTCTCTTCTTTAACAGGACGCTGACGGACTGACGACCTAGTCCTGTCCTTCCACACTCGATTCTCGCTCTATCTCGTAAACGTGGTCACGATCGTCAAACTCGTCACCCTGATCTTGTACGCGAAGAACGAATCCCCATGGTTGCGATATCTATCCTGACATTCATTCCAGTATTAGCATTCTCGGACTCGTGGTTCTCGGCGGGCATACAAGAGTTCCAGATCCAACAGCCAACTTCCGCAATGCCTTCGAGGGCACCACCAACTCAGGATATGGGATCACAAACGCGTTGGTCAAGGTGATGTTTGCTTATAATGGGTATCAAAATGCGATGAACGTGGTCAATGAAGTCAAGGTAAGTAGTCACCATCCATCCTCGGCGCGAGGTATTATAACTGACATCAGGCAGAACCCCGTTAAGACGCTCAAGAAGAGCGCCTCACTTGGCTTGATTACCGTGGCCGTTTTATATGTTCTGTGCAATATTGCCTATTTCGCAGCGGGTTAGCTTCTGTCCCTTACCTACATGTACCCGTAGAATTGTTTGTAACGTGATCTGCAGTCCCCAAGGCTGAATTGGTAAAGTCGAAGCAAATCGCTGCAACTCTCCTTTTCAGTGCTGTCTTCGGGTCCCGTGGTGCAACCCGTGGACTGAGCTTCTTGATCGCCCTCAGCGCGTTTGGAAATCTGATCGCTGTCCTGATTGGGCAGTCTCGAATGATCCGTGAATGCGCAAGGTGAGCTTCACAGTCGTTCCAGGTTTTTTTTTTTCCCCAACTTTCCTTGACAGATACATACTCACATTGACAATCAGACAAGGAGTAATTCCATTCCCCAAGTTCTGGGTCAACACTCGTCCATTTGGGACTCCACTGGGACCATACTTCATCAAATGGTTCGTGACGATCATCATGATCCTTGCTCCTCCCGCAGGAGACGCCTTCAACTTCAGTAAGTAGCCTTCTTCTTCTTCTTCTTCTTCTTTTGAGATGATTGAACTGTTTCTGACCAATACAATACCAGTCGTCGACCTCCAGTCATACCCCGCAGCCGTGTTCAGCGCTCTACTTGCCGTGGGCATCTTCCTGATCCGCCGCCAAAGGAAGAAAATCGGCAAAACCGAGACAGAATTTCGAGCCTGGAACATCGCCGCCATCTTCACGGTTCTGGTAAACATCTACCTTCTCGCCATGCCCTGGTATCCGCCTGCGGGGGAGCAGACGGCGGAGACGTCAGTTTCTGGTACGCAACATACTGCGTTGTTGGACTGGGAATGTAAGTTTATCTCCTCCCATCAGTCAGCGCAGCAAACGATAATGAACTTCAGCTGATCTTTTTTTCTGTTTCTGCCAGTCTCGCTATCTGTGGTATATACTACGTTGTCTGGATCTACCTGCTGCCGAAGTGGTACAACTACCAGATCCGCCAGGAGGTCCTGGTCCTGGAAGACGGGTCCAATACGCATCGTCTGGTCAAGGTTCCGAACGAGGAGGTTGCCGCCTGGGATGAAGAGCATGATGTCGAGGGCAATCTGAGGCGTCGTACGAGTGGTGGCGATGGTGGTGATAGCAAAGAAGATGCCTAGAGGGACAGGGAGGAAGAAGTATATATCTATATATCTTCTTCATTGAATGAAAAGTTATATAATAACAATCTGAAGTCTTGATTGTGTTGTGTTTTGGTTGTATGGGCGGTAGAGCGCCACACATATATCGCATGGAATGATTTTTTTGGGACTGAAAATTCCTGTTATCTACATCCAGCTACGATGGAAAAAATGCAAGTAAAAAAAAAAGAAAAAGAAAGAAAGAAAGGAAGGAAAAGAAAAAGAAGAGAAGAGAAAAGGAGAAAAACAAATCGAACGAGTGGCAGAATAGTTTCTGAATAGGCGTCAACAGCCGAGGCATCTGTACGAAGGGATGCATCATGCAGCAAGGATGCATAACAAACCCCAGCCACCAAAGTGGATCGGCCATCGATCGGGATCTGATCGAGCCAATTCCATGGCTGCAAGATCATGAGATGACCACAAACTTGTATTTTTTATAGTCTATTTTTATTCAATATTATCATTTCTTAGAAATAGTAAAGTCATATCAGATGAGATCAGATGAGATTGCTGGTGGAGAAGCTAGCTATCAAGTGAAACAGCAATCGGTTTCACTATCGTCATACGCCAAACATGGTTTCCCAACTGATTGGATGACCCCTGCGGTCCTGGGAAATATAGCAATCCCACTCAAGGGTGATCTAGGGAGGTGGTACTGGTTATTAGTGCCTTCAACCTAGATCTAGCGTTTGTTGGTTAAACCAGAGTGGACTGGACTGGGACTGATAAGATCTGCCTAACCAACAAGCTGAACAGATGATCATAGAAGTGTTGGTAGTAGATAATCTCTAAACTAAGATAATAAACGGGCCGTTCCTATCAGTAGCTGCACTGTGCATACTGCATACTCTGCAGGGTAGCAGTAATAGTAATACTGTACTGTACTCCCTCCTATCGACACGTTCATGCATCATGTCGATCCTCCTGCTGTCATCTCATTTCTGCCCAGCCAGTGCAAACAGAACTAGAAGATAGTGAAAGACGATAGATTGGGCTAGTTACATTAGAACAGTATGTAAGATCCGATCGGCATGTTGCATATCAAGTCTAGGCTCTATCTGCATGCATTCCAGTCACGACTCATCAGGCACCTTAATTTCAATCTTCATCCCTTGGCTCTTTCTTCTCATTTCCATGTCCTTCGTTCGGGTGGCTTTTCCCTCCTACTCCTACTTTCTACCCTACTTTCGACATTTTCTCCCTCCCTGGAGGCTAGGTGGAACTTGATCCCTAGATTGTTCGCTCCTTCGCAAGAAACTACACATCTACGCTAGCCGTGAAGTCTTTTGTTCGTATTGCGCTTTGTCGCTTTTTCGCTCTTTTCTCGAGACCTAGTGTCTTGACAAGATCACGGACCTTCGCTTCGTTGCCTGCTTTGGCCTTGAAGTCTGCGACTTTTGTTTATCGCGACCGAGCGCGCCCCTGCCTCAGGAACGAGAAATTGAGGACAGATGGTTGTTTGACTGGGTCGGACAATTTCTTTTCAGAGGATAGATACAAGGCAGTTCATCCTGAGAATCTGCTGCCAGTGACGCAGGCCGCCTCATTGAAGACATTGTGTCAGCAGGGTATTGCCATCCTGAAGACACAATAGCTGCAAGCGTGACGCAGACTGGCTCTGCTAGTGACTCAAGGAGGGACAGACAGGGGAACGGACAGCAATT